CGGTTGTTTCAAGTGTGGTCAGAATGGACATTTCATGCGAGAGTGTCCAAAGAATAGGCAGGGTAATGGAGGCAATAGAGCACAGTCTTCTTCAGTTGTTCCACCAGACAAGACGGCACCTAGAGGAGCTACTTCTAGTACAGGTGGAGGAGCAAACCGCCTTTATGCTATCACCAGTCGCCATGAGCAAGAGAATTCTCCGAATGTTGTCACTGGTATGATCAAAGTCTTTGCTTTTGATGTGTATGCTTTGCTAGACCCAGGAGGAGTTTATCTTTTGTAACTCCTTATGTTGCAAATCAGTTTGAGGTTCTTCCTGAAAGACTTTGTGAACCCTTTTGTGTTTCTACACCTATTGGGGAGTCTATTCTAGCGGAAAGAGTTTATCGTGATTGTCCTGTTTCCATCAGTCACAAGAACACCAAGGCCGATTTGGTTGAGTTAGACATGGTAGATTTTGATGTCATTCTAGGTATGGATTGGCTTCATGCTTGTTATGCATCGATAGATTGTAGAACTCGAGCAGTTAAGTTTCAGTTTCCGAATGAGCAGTCTTAGAGTGGAGTAGTAGTTCATCAGTGCCCAAGGGTCGTTTTATTTCGTACCTTAAGGCAAGAAAGTTAGTTTCAAAGGGTTGTATCTATCACTTAGTCCGAGTTCATGACTCTAGTGTTGAGATACCTCTTTTCCAGTCAGTTTCTATAGTAAGAGAGTTTCCAGAAGTGTTTCCTGATGATCTACCCGGAATTCCTCCTGAGAGAGAAATAGATTTCGGCATAGATCTCATTCCAGTTACTCGTCCTATCTCGATTCCGCCATATAGGATGGCACCAGCAGAGTTGAAAGAGTTGAAAGAGCAGTTGAAAGATCTCTTAGAAAAGGGTTTCATCCGACCGAGCGTCTCACCTTGGGGTGCTCCGGTTTTGTTTGTGAGAAAGAAAGATGGTTCCCTTAGGATGTGTATAGATTACCGCCAGTTGAACAAGGTTACCATCAAGAATAAGTACCCTCTTCCGAGGATTGATGATCTTTTCGATCAGCTTCAGGGTGCCACTTGTTTTTCGAAGATTGACCTCAGATCAGGTTATCACCAGTTAAGGTAAGGGAACGTGATATTCCAAAGACAGCTTTCAGAACCAGATACGGTCATTATGAGTTTTTTAGTCATGTCTTTTGGTTTGACCAATGCGCCTGCAGCTTTCATGGACCTGATGAATAGAGTCTTCAAACCTTATTTAGATATGTTTGTTATTATCTTTATTGATGACATACTAATCTATTCAAGGAATGAAGAAGATCATGCTAACCATCTTAGAATAGTTCTTCAGACTTTGAAAAACAAGAAGTTGTATGCCAAGTTCTCTAAGTGTGAGTTTTGGCTTAAGTCTGTGGCGTTCCTAGGTCATATTGTGTCCGGTGATGGAATTAAAGTTGATACTCGGAAAATTGAGGCAGTGCAGAATTGGCCTAGACCCACATCTCCAACTGAAATTAGGAGTTTCTTGGGATTAGCTGGCTATTATAGAAGGTTTGTTGAGGGGTTCTCGAGTATTGCATCTCCTTTGACAAAGTTGACTCAGAAGGCCGCGAAATTTCAATGGTCTGAAGCTTGTGAGAAAAGCTTTCAGGAATTGAAGAAGAGATTGATTACAGCTCCAGTTTTGACGCTACCAGAAGGTACTCAAGGTTTTGTGGTGTATTGTGATGCATCTAGAGTTGGTTTGGGTTGTGTCTTAATGCAAAATGGCAAAGTTATAGCTTATGCCTCCAGACAGTTGAAGGTTCATGAGAAGAACTACCCAACCCATGACTTAGAGCTAGCTGCTGTAGTTTTTGCTTTGAAGATATGGCGTCACTACTTGTATGGTGTGCATGTCGACGTATTCACTGATCACAAAAGCCTTCAATATGTGCTTACTCAGAAAGAGCTTAATCTCAGACAGAGGAGGTGGTCAGAGTTACTCAAGGATTATGACCTGAGTATTCTTTTACCACCCAGGTAAGGCTAATGTTGTTGCTGATTCTTTGAGCAGGTTGTCTATGGGTAGCACTGCCCATATTGAAGAAGGAATGAGAGAGTTGGCAAAAGATGTGCACAAACTGGCATGTCTGGGAGTCAGATTTACAGATTCCGTAGAAGGAGGAATTGCGGTGACGAGCAGGCCGAGTCATCATTGATGTCAGAAGTGAAAGAGAAGCAAGATCAAGATCCCATTTTGCTTGAGTTGAAGGCAAATGTTCAGAAGCAAAGAGTATTAGCATTTGAACAAGGGGGAGATGGCGTTTTGAGATATCAAAGTAGATTGTGTGTACCTATGGTAGATGGACTCCAAGAGAAGATTATGGAGGAAGCTCACAGCTCCAGATATTCTATTCATCCAGGTTCCACCAAGATGTATCGTGATTTGCGAGAAGTCTATTGGTGGAATGGCATGAAGAAGGGCATTGCTGAGTTTGTTGCTAAATGTCCAAATTGCCAACAAGTGAAAGTGGAACACCAAAGGCCCGGTGGTTTGGCTCAGAATATAGGGCTTCCGGAATGGAAGTGGGAGATGATCAATATGGATTTCATCACAGGGTTGCCAAGGTCTCGCAGACAGCATGATTCTATTTGGGTGATTGTCGACAGAATGACAAAGTCAGCCCATTTTCTACCGGTAAAGACTACTCTTTCGGCAGAAGATT